CTTTAAAGACCAGAGAACTAATACACCAAGTTACCTAGGAGCACCTAACAGATCTTTTTTCCATGGTTACTGCTGAAGAAATTCCATCTCGAAATCCCCTTACAGATTCCCAGGCTGGGTTTGATACAGCTTGCAGTGGAAAAGGTTTGTCCCATGGGGTCCATTTCTAAACAACAGTCCCTCAGAGCACCTCTGGCTCCTGCTGTCTGTTCTGGATTTGTATTCCAGTGGGCTGTCAGTGTATGGGAAGCCCATCAGAGAAACCTGCACATGGCTGCTGTAAAACAGTGTCACAATCTAGCTGCCCAAGTGAACTGGGTAAAATCATTCAGATGAGATGTAAAAACTGAGGTCCTGACTCTCTGTGGTCATTAAGAATCCCAGGGTGTTTCTCGAAAAGAGTAGGGGTGTTACCCCGGTATCCCAGCCAAATTCCCCCCTGGACTTTACCCATCATGGCCTCCTAATAATCCCCATCTCTGAACTGGCTTCATCACTCTGCTCTCCTCCCCACTGAGAGCTGGTGTGTGGGGAGCGGACTGGCGCATCATCCGGGTGGGGCTGCACACCGGTGGTGGTGGAGGGGATCCCCATGACCTGGACAGTGCTTTGAGTGGAGTGTCCAGAAAAGCGCTACATAAGCATAAGGAATTATTATTATTAAAACAGAACCTAATCACCAGTGAACGATGGGTCAGGCTGCACAGGCACTGTGACTTTGCACGGCTGGGCCCCCAGCGATCGGCTCACGTCTGTGCTGGAGAGGCTGGCTCTCACCTGCTCCCCACAGACTCATTTACTGGTGAAACTGGTGCAGATGGGACTGCTCGGCATCAGAGCGTTCAACGGGGGGGGGGGATGGGTTGCTAGACATGATGAAGACCCAGGTCTCCGTCCCACTGAGCCCGGAGCCGCAGTCCGCAGCGTGGGAGGGCGGGTGTGCGCGGGTGTGAGGGGGTGTGAGTTTGGGAGTGTGAAGTCTAGTGGCAGCTGGCTGGCACTCTCTGTGAGGGGGCGGAGTCCCGCGGCCGCCCCTCTCTGATTGGCCCTGGGGGCGGGGGGGTGTGTGTGTGGTGTGTTATGTCTGCGCAGCCCAAGTTGTTTCGCTTCTTTAATACAAAACAAATTCCTTATTAATACGGCGTGAGGTCTGCCGGTGGTGCTCTCTCTGGAGACGTTTCCTCCCCTCTGTTTGGGACCACACGGACTCTCTGAGGCGTTTCTGCTAATCGGAGCTGTTTCCCCCCACCCCCAGCGCTGCTTATTCCCCAAGGGGCCACTGACAGGCCCCCCCACCCCAGCACACAGCAAATGGCTCCTCTCAGCTCTGAGCCTCTGAGCTGAACTTCCTGGCAGAAAACGGACACCTCTAAGACACCCCCTCTTTGTGTCCACAGACTTCCTGTCCTGCTGAAGGAGACATCGCAGCTCGTCATCCCTCCCCCCCCCCATCATCCCCTGTCCCCTGGTTGTCCAACATCGTTTCACTTACATCTTCGTTTTCTCATTCACTCGTGATGCTCGCTGCATTTGTCTGCATTTCAGAGTGCTTCCTTCAATGATGTGCCGGTAGGCCCCTCTTTCCAAACTTGCCGCAGGGAGAAACCGAGTTATTATGCATTGTGCAAAAAAAAGTGCACCAGTGAAATGAGAAATATTAGCTAGCGAAGACATCGGCACACGTGCTTTTCTCTCTTTCTTGTTTTTGGAGACGGCAGGGAGGCCTGTATTGGAAAAAGGAGCTGCAAATCAACATAAAACATTCAGGCCATCAGCCTGATGCTGCTGATCACATATTTTTACAGCCCTCAAACATGAAGAACTCGAAACATGATGCTGACGACAACTGATCCCGGGACGTCCGCCTGGCCACCTGTGTGTTTCAAATCACAAAAGCTCAGCTGTGACAACTGTGTGCAGCCCTCTTGCGAAGAGACCAGCGAGAGAGGACAGACAGCAGGCATGCCAGGCAGCCCCAGGGCTCACCTGCTGTCCTCCAAGGTTTCCCAGCTAATCTGCTCCCTGTCAGTCACGAGAGCAAACCGGCACCTTTGACTCCTTGTTGCTGTTTTGTTTACCCCCCTCTCTTTCCTGTGGAAAAGCCAGGAAGGTTAAGCTCTAACTGGTGGGTCTAATTACTAATAACATTTAATTGGGCTTGTTAGTGGAAGAGTTTCGCTGAAAACAGGAAGAGAGAGCACATGGTGAAACAAAAGAGGCACTATGATGGGGATCTTCCCTCGCTGTGCCAGCTATTCACCCCGAAACTGCAATGACCCCCCGTTTTCTTAACATTTTTTTAAAGTTACTGCTTGCAGTTTTGGAAAACCAGCAGGGCCGTTAAACTCACCAGACATGTTGACGCCTGTTGAACAGGTGATAGGACATATAGGGGACATCTCCATCATGTACATGAGGTTTTTGTAGAAGTCATGTTCTAATCAAAGTATTGAAAATTCAAAGTGCCAGAAACACTTCATCAGCTTTCTCTTTGCAGGCAGTGTGGGTGTTTCTGTGGAGTACAGACCAGTAAATAAAGAAAGAATGAGAGACACAGTCCTGAGATACAACCCTGTCAGTACATGACTTGCACCTCTCTGCCTTTCACACACAGCCCTTGTTTTAAAACGTTTTCCTCCTTTCAAAAGCGACACCAAGCTCCCTCAGAGGAGCAAGAAATCAAACCCAGTTTCCACTCCCACTTCAACAGATAGCAGATACCGGCGACAGATATTCTGATTCATCATCCGGCTGTCACACTGTCCAGGAAACACAATATACATTAAATACTGTGGCCTCAATGCCTTTAAAACAATTCCAGGGATACGGAGAGGAAGCAGAGAAAATAAGCCCGGAGAGATCCCAAATTCTCCTGCCTCGTCTTGGCGTTTGAACCATCTCTGGGAGTTTGGGACAGTGGACAAACTTGTCTCTTTGCTTTGGTAAAAAACATGTATGTAGGGGCACCCCAGCACTGAGGCTACCCCCC